TTTCACAGCCCCAAGTTTAGACAATCACTCACATCTTCCGGTTGAAGGGCTTTGTGCGGCCAATGCAGCGCCTTCGGAGCACGCGAGCTCGCGTTGGACGCCCTCTTCTTTCCGGCCGGCTGCGCGTTGAGAAATGATGCCAGTCGATTCTCGTAGATAAAGTACTGCTCGTGAGATACGGCCATGACTGTCGACCCGGCTCCTCGAAGCGCTCGAGTGTGCGAATTGCGGCGATCCTGGTTCAATACGTCGCGAGAGGAGTGGTGTTGGCGATGAATGTCGGCGGAGTGGCCGCTAAGAAATCGCAGACACAAAAGATTCCTAGGTAGTTCAATAGACAGAAAACATCATCTATATTTCGAAAGACAAGTAAGTCATAAAACACCACTATCGCTGAGGCTGGCGATTCGACATGGAGGGGGATGCGAATGACTGGATTTGGATTGAGTGAAGGGAACTTGCAAGTGCCCAAAATATCCGGCGCGCGACTGCGATTGGGCTGGACCGCGCGCGTTTGTTTACTTTGGTTCCAGGTGTGGCACGCACTAACTAGCCTCAGTGGGGCAGCATGACAGCTCCCCCAAGTTTGCACCATTTGTGGCTGCGGGGTGTGGCGCTGTTGATCCATCCCACCACGATGTTTGGATTGTGAAGGAAAAAAGGGGTCTGTTCCACCGAGGGTTATAGACGATAAATCTTGACCAAAATATCACATACGGCCATAGATAGTGGAAAGCTCGGGATCCCGTCCGCTCTCCCATAGATAAGCCACTAATCGCCAGACTAGTAGTTGGGTCGGTGACGACCAGCGAATCCCTGGTGCTGTATGTTTTTTATCCTTTTTTTGTGTTTGTTCTTTAGTATCCATTCCCGTCCCCCTTTTTACCTCCTTCCCACGGGGTGTATTTACCTTTTCCCGTTCATTTTCGTCGTTTCTCCCCAAGTCCTGCTCAGTGTAACATCATGCCAGGAGTGATTCTCATTCACGACTTTGGCTGGATAATAAACAATACTGCGATGTTGCTATTGCATGTGTCCAGCTCGTACAGAGTCGCAGATTGGCACGTTTGGTAGGTATCAATGAGTTCATACTCTGAGCGAACTCCATTTTAACCTCGTACACTTTCTAACTGCTTATCTATTGTATTGACAGTCAATAACGGTATCAATTAGGTTGTCAAGACACTAAAAAAGCTTCAATGCAATCAGTCCACGTCGAGACAAATCAAGCCTCAAGTTCTTATCTGAAAAGCTTATTCAGACTTTCAGCTGCCGGTCATCCGCTCAACAATCCGATGCTACGGAATGGGCTGCAAGGCTACCTTATCTTAAGTTCCCTCCCTGACAATCTATACAGAGTTTCAAGATGCAGGTCAAGCGCGAGACGTAAGTTATTTACACGTGTATTTTGGGTTGGTATATGACACATTTACAACGAACTCTTACCGGTCTACCTATCGCCGAACCAACCCCCACAAACCAAGGTGGAGGTGGACTTCTGACAGGCAGTGACAGGGAAGGCCGGAAAGGCGAGTCCCAGTTTAAACTTTCCATATCCCGCAAGATACTGGAGATATCTAGGTATGGGGAAAGAGGCAACAGTAAGATGCCTCGGTAAGCCGGGAGTTCAGACCACTTGGGTTCAGACCACTTGGTTCAGACCACTTGGTTCAACATAAGTCCACGCCGGCATTTACGAAGCGTCGGTCCACTCTTTCGCCATGCAGGTCCCGTCATGCAAGGAAAGGGCAGCTTGCGAGTCGCCTCCTGTAGTTACGTCGTGGTTCCCTGCCAAGACCCACAGCACAACCCGGCAGAAACTGACTCGTGGGCAAACAAAATCCAAGATTCTATTGAACGGTGGCTTCGTGGACAATTTCTGTCATGTAACAACCTGCAGCAGGGACATATTCCATGACAAAATCCAACACAATCCCATGGGGAACTGAATTGACTTTCGGGGGGTGAGCGGGGAGAAAAGAGAGCAGGAGCTACCTGAGACTTGATAACAACCGTTCCCCTGGATGAAGACCCGTCAGTCCTTGCGTGCATAACATAGCTGGAAATAGCTTCATCTCTGGAAAGATAAGACTAGGTGTGTGTGCCCAGAACCGGCACTCTGGAGCCAATGGCGACGTGTTACGGGTCTGCCCGAAGATAAACCTTTCCCAGGGAATGCCCACCTAGGGTCGGTGAACGCTCGCCCCTGACTCGGCCTTCCCCCACGGTTTGTAAGAAAGCCTTTTAAAAGTCAATCGCTCCTCCCCATATACGGAGGTTTGTTCCTCTCTTGTTTCCCCAGGTTTCCTTCAACTCAAGCCAGCAGCAAGCGATTCCACTCGCTTGCCTTCTAGCCCCGGCGCCCACCTCCCTCCCTCCTATTTCTCGTAACAGTCCTTTGCGTCCTCGGCTTTCTTTTCCCACAAACCTGCCTCCCGAGTTCGCATTCTCAAGTATTCCTTCTGGCGAGACCTCCTCGATCATCTCCTCGACATAAAATTCGGCAACGTTAATAAGTAACATCAACTGTTAATATATCGGGAGCGAATACCGCACTTTCATCAATAGGTAATCCTTGGGAATAGAAACAAAGCAACGATGGAAGGAGGACAGCATCGTGACAACTTCGATGGTCGCAAAGACGCCAATGCCAACAAGTCTACCCGCGGAGTCCTAGCCGCCGATGGACCCCCGCAGTATGGCGTCGATGATCCGTCGGACGGATCCATCGTGGGCGAGGTGCGCAACTTCGACTCGGACGTCGAAAAAAGAAAGCTGGCTGAGGGCGAGGCCAACTTCCACCGGCTGGGCTGGAAGCGCCTGACCATCGTCCTGATCGTCACAGCCATCGCGCTGGGCAGTCTCGGTTTGCCTTCCGCCTTTGCGACGCTCGGTATGGTCGCCGGCGTCATCCTCACTGTCGGCCTCGGCCTGGTGGCCATGTACACCAGCTATGTGGTCGGCCAGATGAAGATCAAGTACCCCGAGATCACGCACTTTGCCGACGTCGGCCGCCTCATGTTCGGCAGGGTCGGGTACGAGATCCTGGGCGCCATGTTCGTCCTGCAGCTGATCTTCACCACCGGCTCCCACGTCCTGACTGGCAAGATCATGTGGGAAAACATCACCGAGAGCGGCATCTGCGCTATCGTATTTGGCGTCGTCTCGGCTATCATTCTGTTCATCATCGCCATCCCGCCCAGCTTCGCCGAGGTGGCCATTCTCGGGTACATCGACTGTGTGTCCATCCTCGCCGCCATCTTGATCACCATGATCGCCACGGGCATCAGCGCTACCAACGCCCCTGGCGGACTGGACGCGGTCCCCTGGTCTGCCTGGCCCAAGGACGACCTCAAGGTGGCCGAGGCCTTCATCGCGATTGCCAACATCGTGTTCGCCTACAGCTTCTCGCTCTGCCAGTTCAGCTTCATGGACGAGATGCACACGCCCACCGACTTCCCCAAGGCCATTCTCTCGCTCGGCATCATTGAGATCGTCATCTACACCCTCACGGGCTCGCTGATATACGCGTTCGTCGGCCCTGACGTCAAGTCCCCGGCGCTGCTTTCGGCCGGCCCGTTGATCTCCAAGGTCGCGTTCGGCATCGCCCTGCCCGTCATCTTTATCTCGGGGAGCATCAATACGGTCGTTGCCGGCCGCTATCTCCACGGCCGCATGTTCAAGAACTCGGTTATCCGCTACGTCAACACACCGATGGGCTGGGCCACGTGGTTGGCTCTTGACGCTGTCATAACGGTGGTCGCGTGGGTCATTGCCGAGGCGATTCCCTTTTTCTCTGATCTGCTGGCCATCAGCTCGTCGCTTTTCATCTCGGGCTTCACCTTTTATATTCCCGCAGTGATGTGGTTCCTGTACATCAAGGAGGGCAAGTGGTACGAGGTCAAGAATATCCCGCTCTCACTTACGAATGCGCTGTGTTTTTCGATTGGCGTCATCGTGCTTGGTGTTGGTACTTATTCCAGCATTCAGGATATCGTGAGTTTCTCTCTATGTCTCTCATCGTGATATGCTGTCGAAGTCGTCGTCATTGTCGGCTCGCTCTGCTTCCACCGAGAAACATTGGCTAACTGTTTCCTTTCCCAGATTAACAAATACGCTGCCAATGCGGTGGGCACGCCCTTTTCTTGCGCGGTCGCCAGATAATTGATCCGGCATCTTTGCTGTGTGCGCGTCGAGGCGAGAGAGGTTCTTTTGAAAGGCGCAAAAAGGAACGACGTTTTTGTTTGAAAAGTCGGTAAAGATAATGATAAACCAGGTTACGAATGTCTTTGGGAACTTCTTTTGGGGGACGGGTGTGGGCGGTCTTTTTGTTTGGCTTCGGGGAATTTCGCGGTTTCTTTTGGTCCATCCCTCGTCGGCAAGGTTTTTTTCTTCTTCAATTGTTGGTTGCGGCTCAGGGTTCCGCAGCGCTCTTTTACCTGTTCCTGCGGCAGATTCTCGAGACTGGCGCCGAGGTCGGCTTTCGGCCTTCGTGATATTGTGAAGGCCGAGTTGGACTCCACTCTTACACATCACGCAATCCGTGGATGGATCAAGGAATGGTAGCTACCGGTACCGGGGCTTCTTTCTTCTAATTCTTTTTTTTTTCCTTACTACACAGAAACTTCCTCAAGGCCATAGCACAATACCGCTGGTCTTTCTGCTCGGTTGTCATGCTGGATTGTTGCTATTATCTTCTAACCCCTAATAACCCCAACCCTTTTGTAGATGCAAATGAAAAAATCATCTGAATACATCCAAGTTTCTTCAAGTATCTTCGTGCCAAAAAGAAAATTGACATAACATTGCAACTCGTTCTCACGTGTATAAATAAATAACGTGAAGAGTATTTTGAACACTCGTCTCTCTAGTTTTCTTTTCGTAACAACGAAAAACAACCCAGTTATCTATCTACCCAAGTACCTTGCCAACCAAATGAAAGCCAGCTGTACCAAAATCACGGCAAGGTAACCAGCAAAACAAAAAGAAATACGTTTTAACTCGGATACCGGGAGTCGAAACCGGGCTGGTGAGCAGAAAGCATATCACTCGTAAAGGAAGTGAGAGTAGGAAGTGAGAGTCAACGATGTTACCGCTACACCATACCCGAAGGTGTCTGATTATGTGTGAGTGGATGGAGATGATGGTTCATGACAACATGACTCGACAACTGGGGAGATTCTAAACCCTAAACATGTCAAACAGCAAGACCGAAACCACGAGGTGAACCATGTGAACAAGAGTAAAACACGGACATTGGTTTCTATTGCATGGATGATGTTCTCATGATGATGAGATGAGGTAGAAGACCTTCCGCAGCGACATGCCGCAAATTTGTTACTATGTAGGTAGGCAAAAGGGGCTCGTGACAGCTAAGGTACTAGTCTACATGAATGGTTTATGGGTATGGTTAATGCCCACGCAAAGGACAAAAAGAGAATGCAGGTTAAGGCTTATCACCAAAAAGAACTGATGTCCCAATCCCGCTTTCTTTTTCCAAGACCCAACCGGTGAGTTTCACTTTACAAAAGCCCCATACCCTGCCCAACAGACAAAAACGGCGAAACACATAAACGAACGATTTAGCTGCTGTTCTCCACGCCCAGCTCCTGGTAAAACGCATCAGAGCTCGGCTTGCGGCCCAAAAATTGCTCGAGCGTGAGCATCTCGTCCTGCGCACCGCCTCTCTCGAGGACGGTGTGCCGGTAGCGGCGGCCCTGAACCTTGTCCATCGGGTTTTTCTTGAAGTTGGAGTAAAACATGTCGGTCGAGTACACCTGCGAGGACAAGTAGCCGTAATAACCTGCGTCATACCCCCCAATAAGGTGGCCAAACGTCGCCTGTCCGTTGCCCCAGGTCCTACGTAATTAATTGTCAGTAGGGTACTCAGACAGAAAGAGATTCGAGACTCAAGTAAACTTACTCAGGCTGCCCCTGGGCCTCGGGACCCTTGAGCTTGGCAATCTCGGCCCGGAGCTCGTTGTAAAGCGCGCTGACGTCCAGCTTCTCGAGATCCGCATGCGTCTTGGGCGTGTGGACGGTCATGTCGAACAGGCCAAAGTGCAGCTGGCGCAAGTTGAACAGCGCATCATTGACATGTTTGGTAGCCACGAGCTTCTCGATCAGGTCGTCGGGAATCTGCTTGCCCGTCTCGTAGTGGCTGCTGAGCCCCTTGAGCGGGCCCGGCGTCCAGCACCAGTTCTCCAGCATCTGGCTCGGCGCCTCGACAAAGTCGCGGACCGTCGACGTGCCGTGGAATCTAGCATACTGTGTCCTGCCGACCAGGTCGTGGATGCCGTGGCCCAGCTCATGGAAGAGCGTCACGACCTCGTCGTGCTTCAGGAGGGACGGCTTCTTGGGCGTCGGCTTGCTGAAGTTGCAGACCAGCGCTGTGGCGGGGTACCGCCGCGAGCCGTTGGCCTGCAGGAAGCCCGGCTGCAGGTTGAAGTTGGCCGCGTGGCCGTACTTGCCCGGGCGCGGGTGCAAATCTAGATACAGATAGCCGACAAACTCGTCGCCCTCAGCGGCGTCATCCCAAACACTGAAAATAATCACATCCTCATGCCAAGAAATATCCTCGGCCTTGCCCGTCGGGGAGATGCGCTGACGGTCCTCGGGGCTAAGCTCGACAAAAACCAAGCCAAACAGCTCCTCGAAGATGCGCAGCATGCCACCGACGGTCGACTTGAGCGGGAAATACTCGGCGATGGCGTTCTCGTCGATGCTGTATTCCTGCTCCACCATCAACCGATCATAAAACCTATGATCCCAAAGGTAGTAGTTTCCGTCGAATGGGACGCCTCGGGACTCGTGGTCCTTCTTCTTCAGCGCAAGGAGATGCTCGATTTCTTTGGCGCCGCCAGGGGCCAAGCGAGTCTTCAAGTCGCCGAGGAAATCAAGGACCGTCTTGGGCGTCTTGGCCATCTTGTCTTCGATACGGAACGAGGCGTGGTCGGGATATCCGAGAAGACGCGCGGCCTCGTCACGGAGAAGGATCGCCTCTCTGAAGAGCGGGACGTTTTCGTTGCACTGTGTTTGGTGTCAGCAATCGCATGCTCGCCAGATGACCAGATAGATACACCAGATATTCTTACCTTGTTCTCATTGTCAATAAATAGCTTCTTCCGCGTCTCGGGGTTCTTGGCAAACTTCAACGTCGGGAGCAAGTCCGGGTACTTGAACGAGAGGCGCAGCTTGCCCTCGTTCTCGTCCTTGCCCTTCTCCAGGTTGACCAGCACATCCTCGGGCACGCCATCCAGCTCCTCCTTGGTGAACCAGATACCGCCGTTCTCCTCGTTCAGGTTCTTCTGGAAAGCGATTTGGATCTGGCTCAGTCTCTTCTTAATCTCCTTAAACCGGTCTCGCTGCTCGCCCACGGGCAGGCCCAGACCGTTCTTGATGTAGCTCTTCCTCTCTTTCTCCAGCAGGCGAGCGCTCTCGACGTTGTCGAGACCGGCGCTCTTGGCCAGCGCCTCGTCAATCAGCCGCTCCTTGTCCTTGTCCATGCTCGCGGCCAGGCCAGAGCTCTTGTAGACGGCGTCGACGAGCTGAAAGACGTCCTCGCGCATGCTGCATTCGATGCCGAACTCGTCCATGATCTTCTCAGCCTCGGTGCTGGCGTCCCGGAGGGCGCTGTCGCCGCTCACGTACTGGTAGAAGCCCAGGATGCGCGCGCTTAGGCTCGAAGCGTTCTCGTCCTCGGTCTGGGGGCGCATGACAGTCTCAAAGCTGGCAGCCTCGAGGTCCTCGGCAGGCTTGACCTCGGCGACCAGCTTGTCGAGCAGGGAGCGGGTGTTGTCGCAGAGGGCCTTGGCGTCGGACACGATGGAGTCCTTGGTGCCAGTGAAGAGCGGCGGGGCCTGGGGCGGATTCGCGTACTTGGCCATGGTGAGGTTGGGTGCGTGTGTCAACAGGGCGGGGCTCGTGAGAGAGACGAAGGTGGCGGCGGAGAGAGAGGTGGTGGTGAAGGCAAGTTTGCTTCCTGCTCCTCCTATGGTGAAGGCGGGTTTGGTTCCTCCTCCTAATCCTCCGACGGGTTTCTGGGGAGAAGGCCGGGCGTACTTAAGCTGGCTGAAGAGCACAGAAAGGCGGGGGACGATGCTTGGGGCGGCCAGGATGACGGCGATGGTCGAGAAGAGGACGACCGAGAATATTAAGAGGAAGCTGGCCTTCCGCACATGTGTCAGAGTCGTTGGCGCCAGGATGAGAGATGGGTTTCGAATGAGCAATCGCAAGGAGACACTCACTGTTCGAGTGTCCCGGGCGAATGCTTTGAGTTCGACCGACTTTCCTAAAGTGGGCGGCTTTGTTGTCCAGTCGTCTGTAGCACAGTGTGTCTAGGTAACCACAATATGCGGGGAAGAAGATGGAACGGTTGGATAGATGCAATGGATGGGCACTCAGGCGGTTGGTCGCCTGACTTGACGAGTCCTGGGTGCGTCGGGTCACGGCGTCAGGCACGAGAATTGAGCGGTCAGACTAACAGATTGTACAGACTTAAAATAAGTTATTTTACCAAAGGGTGATTCAAGGTTGGTTTATAACAAAAAAGACCGTATCGTTCAACCGAAGCTGGGCAAGGTAAAGGAGGAAGGTGTTTCTGAATCCGCGGGGTGAGGTGGCAGCTCTCCCCAGCTTTAATTTATCAACGTCCCACAGTCCCCGCGAGTCGACGACGGTCGAGTACCGTTGCGGGGAACCTGAAGCAACCTCCCTGTTTGACCTGTTAAGAGTGGTCGACAAACGATGAATGTCTCCCATACTAAATTTGGGGAAATGCAAGGTGCACTAACAGCGGGCCTGTCACACATCAAATTTGGAGAAATTTCACCTTGCCTTTGACTCCTGGAAAGCGCGAACGACACTTCCAAGTTCATAAAGAGAACTTCAAGGCTTCAAGCCCCCTGAAAGATTTGGGTACGGCGGAATGATGCCAAGGTGGCCCGGGGTTCGCTTCAGGGGGCCTTGGCGCGTCAAGACTCGGAGTGTTTGAAAAGCTTAAAACTTTTTGGCTTTGAGCTTTAACGGCTTGGGATGTTGCCTGCGGCAACTTGAAGTAACGAGGGTCATGAGGGTCTTGAGAGATGTGCCGAGAGACTGAACAATGGGAGACAGAATTGGACAACATCCTTTGCCAAACTAATGTCTTTCCAGTCAAGGTGGCCTTCGTGGAGCGGTGAGGCCCAACTTCACTGGTACGGAATACCTTGTTGCTTATCAACTCAGTTCAAAATACGCTGGTCTTCTGGGCCCGATGACGGAGATCGGCCAGGATTTGTTGATGTACACACATGCGCAGTGATGGCAGTCTTGCGATGAAAGGTCAAGTCAGGCCCCGGCAATCGAACGGTTTCACACCAAAAAAGCAAGCCAGCTGAAGTCAAAATGAAAGCTCGTGATGTAATTAAATTCGCATTGCTATGGGCTTCGCATCGCTATGGAAAGCCATGGTAAGAGTTATATACCAGTTTCCAGAGCCAACTTGGTTCTCTGCCTCCTACTTCTTTTTCTTTCTTCTTTTTGTCTTGATTCTCCCCAATACCAAGGACGGAAAATCAATCCCCGATTCCAACGATGTGTCACGCGCTCAATGAGAAAAAGGCCTCGTATGGTGTTGCCTGCTACCTATCAAAAGCTCATTGGCAGTAAATATATCCCAGGTTACCCAAATTTCATACAGTGGTCAAGATTTGCTCGCCAAAGACTCCAACGCCAGCCAGCCAACCCAGCAATCCGCCTCTTCCAAAAAAAAAAACAACAACCCCAATAATGCAATCATGTTCCCCGGTGGATGCCTGCTTCTCGCTTCCTCCTGATCTCTAACGTCCGTCAGAGCCTCATGGGGATCTTGAAGTCATGTGTATGTATCCTTCTCAATCCCCTCCCAGTCTTCCATCACCCTCCTAGCCTAGCCCAACCTAGTTGGCAAGAATCGTCCGCACAAGGTCTACATCACTGTCAGTCAATCCAGTCCACAAACCATGTATCCAATAACCCAACGGGAGAGTCGCAATAACATACCAGTATAGTTGACCTGCCCAGAGCTAGTATCGACCGCCTTGAGCAGCTCGTCCACCTCCTCGTCCGTCATCTTCTCGCCCAGGTTTGTCA